ACCCCTGCCTCTCAGGCTGTCCCCTTTGGGCACCTGCCTTTCACTGCATCGGCACTTTGATTTTGGCTTGTTCATCCTGCTCCCCGACTTTTCTATCTCCAGTTGTTCTACCCATCATCTCTCTGCTTTATGCATCTCTTATAAAGTTTTATGGGTTTAAAGTCCATAGATAGCCTCACCTTTGCCATTCCTTCATATCCTCCTTCTCAATTCTATTTGTGACCTCTTTTCTCTCCCTGGAGCCCTCTTCCCCTTGTCAAGTTGCCCTTTTGCTCTTTCTGCTGAAATCCTAACATGCTGAACTATAGCTCAGATGAACCATGATTTTATTTTGATCCTGTATTCATAGAGGAGCAAAAAATAGCATATATTTTTCCAGTTCCCAGCCCTTCCCTACTTACTGCCCTAGAGGCATCTCTTTATCCAGATTTACGCTGCCTTTTCTGATTCAATCTTCCAATATCTATTTGATGTCATCGCACTCTAACTGCCCTGCATTTCCCATCTTCTCGCCTGCACTCCTATTTGAGATCTCCACCAGGAGAGGGGGGCCTTTAGCCTTTTTAGTCAAGGAGAAGCAGAACTGGCATTTGTTAAGCTAGTGCTCCTCTTTTGGCCTCTTGTGTGTGTGGAATAGTGACAGCTCTTTAGCTGGCCCCGGCTTGCTGTGGCTAACGTGGAGCAAAACAAAAACAACTAATTTCTCTTTCATTGGGAATTCTTCTCTGCTCCAGCCTTGCTTCAGTGTACAAATGCCAGGGCTGCCTGAAGTCTCCATCCACTCTTGCCTCACCTGCCCGCCAACCATCCAGAGTTACCATGTCAGGCTCTTCCCTCCTTTGTGGTCCCAGGATTATTAAAGGGAGTATGATTGTTTCCTTTTGCTGAGGGAGTGTGTATGTGTGTACATGTTTGTGAGCTTGAAAGGCATTGTCCTATAGATATTTTTATAACCTGAAGCAATTACAGCTGTCAGCACAGAGACAAGCTGTGACAAGTTGATTTATGTGTACAGTATATGTGTATGCAAGAAGGAAGGGAGGAAGGAGAGGGAGATGGTGGGGAAGAGGGTGGAGGTGGGCGCTCGTTAGGAATCTGCTTTCAAGAAGGCAGAAAGAAAGTTGTTTCTATAAAGAACACAAATAATGAAATTGCTTTGAATGTCATCCCTTTTCATTAACTCAGATATGCTGGGAAAAATAAAATAGATCCAGCAGTTTTATGGAGCAGGAGACAGGATATAAGTTGTCACTAAATGTTGGTTATATCTAGGGATTAAGGGATGGAAGGGAGTTGACATATGATTTTGATCTTCATCTTTTCAAACTACTTCAATAGCCAGTTTGAATACAATGGATTTTGTCTTGTTAATTGTGTGGGCATCTCTGACCTTTCACCACTTTCTGAACTTCTGTTTTTGAATAAAGTTTGGATCTCTGGGCCTAGGAAGCAGGTATGAGGTTGCAAGTGCCTTTTCTTTGTCCTCCCTGTGAGTTACCTGAGCTTGGCTGCGTTTTCTGCTGCAACTGCTGGATTGCTAAGCTTAGTGCTAAGCTTAGCACTCTCCCTTCATGGCCAGAGACAAAGGTGGGTTTGACTGCCTTAGATCAACTGCACGCAGACTGGTAGAAAGCGAACCTCTCAAAGAGGCTGTAAGAAGAATTATTTTCCTGCCCAGACATACTAATGAAGCAGTGGCAGGAAAATGTATTAATAAAGCATCTTCCATTTTAGATGGATTTCTAAGTTATTTTCCTGTAGAGTTAATCATATATGTAGGCCCCTCGGGAAAGCCTCTTGTCGTCATTATCCACATTCCTAGATGCAAAAACTAATGCTTATTTGTACCTACCTGGAAATTAGAGGCAAGAGCCAGGATTAGCATTTATCATGAAAGGAATCATCCCTGCCATTCTCAGGCCTGCAGGGAAATGACTCCGAAGCTCAGAATGAGTCCCTCTCCTTTCCCCATGACTACCATTTGTTCCCACTTGATGTGGTGAGGATGTGTTTAAGAAGAGGAGCTGGGAGATGGGAATGTCAAGGATGGTTGAACTGAATGGATGAATTATTAGAGGTGACTCCCTGGCTTGTGGAGAAGAAGCCTCAATTCAGCAGACTGAAAGTCAGCAAACACCATCTCACAGCTTCAGTCTATCATCGTATTTATCTTAACTTGGTGAAGTTAGTAAATTTCCTATTTCCACAATTGCCCATTGGAAAATGGAGACACAATAGAATCTTCCAAGAATGGCCTGGTGCTAAAATAGGTTAATTGTCCTCCTTTCCTTTCAAAAATATAAACAAAACTCTTCTGCTCCCCACAGATGTAATTGTTTATTCCTGATAGTAAAGTCATTTGTTGCAGCCATAAGTTGACAACTGAGTTTTGCTGTTATGTATCAAGTGATCCCCAGTGGCCAAAAGTAGCAGATGAGTTTCTCTGAGAATTTAATATCAGGAAAGTAACCAGAGGAGAGGGAGGAACAATTAGCCCAGTGATGAGTTAATGCAAAGTATTTTGAGATCGTCACTGTAAAGTCACCCCACTCTTGCTGGCTGAGCACTTTCCGGTCAACTATGATAATGGAAAGGCAAGCCTTCTCAGTCTTCCTTTGTTACCCAGCAGTGTGGTTTCCATTTCTCCAAACTCTACTTCTGTCCTAGCTCTATGGTTAGTGTGAGGGGGATTTGATTGGTGAAATGTTCGTGTCTTCTCCAACGTGTTATCTACATGTAAGTGATTGGTACTGCTGCAAGGTTGCCAGAATGAGTATGGTACCAAGACCCTTAGGGTTACGTGACTCAGTTAGAGTGGTTCAGTCTCTTTGATGTTGGATGGCTTTTGATGCTGGATGGCTTTCTGGAAGAACATTTTTCTGTTATTTAACAGTTAAAAACAACAACAACAACAAAAAAAAAAACTTCCTGGATGTGTTGATAGAAAGTCTGGGGGAAAACCAAAGCTACTGTTGTCTCCTCTCTATCCCCAAGGGGAATGTGGGTCAGTGCTGGAGCCCGGCTCTGGAAATCCCCGAGAAGGCAGCATTATTAATGTCACCACCACTGCACCTGCTGGGCTGCTCTGTGCTTTCCCCTAGCACAAGGACCAGGCCTAGCTGGGGAAGGGAAACGCAGGCCATTCCCTCAGAGCCGAAGTTAAGGGAGAGATAATAATATAAACACAGGAGGTCCAGTAGCAGCCAGAGAGGAGAAGTGACAGGGACCAAGGCAAATCCAGTCTCTCCCTGGGTTTCAAGAATTTGAGAAACACACCTCTTAAAGATGAAATCAGCTGTGCGAGAGTGTGAGGCCCAGGAAACCTGGGAGTCTGCTGTATAAATATGGCAAGTGGCTCACACTCATCCACTCAAGTGAGCACTTTTGCAGGCCCAGCATCTTTAAATGGCGACAAAACATGAATAAAAAATGTAAGTCGGTGTCTGAACTTGACCAACATTTTGATGATGCGATTTTGCCAGTTTCGCACACTAAGAGGCTTCTGTGGTTCTGCGTTTTATACATGGCAGGTTTCTAGAACGGTGGTGTCGAGTCTCTGGGGTTTTGAGCAGCTTTGTGGGGGGCTGCAGGGCGGGTGCCGTACTACTGAATAACTATGAGGTTCTTCTAAAACATCCTCCCAATACTCTGAATTTACTCTGAATGCTAATGGAATTAATCTGATCCTTTTAAAGGTGCACGTATGCATGCTGCAGGGTGTTCCTTTCCCAGTTAATTAGTTTGTGACCCTTATTAAGATGTCTCCAGTCTGGGGCTTATTAAGGCTGCATGGTAACTTTGCCTTTTTTCCTGATTTGGAAGCGCCCGCTCTGGAACCGGGGAAATGGTTAAACTCCTGGCCTGGGCTGGGTTGGTGCACAGCCTGGGCCCGGCGCGGCGGGGGTTAAGGTGGGCGCCCGCGCCCCGCGCCCCGCGCCCGCCCGCCGGGATGAGCGCGCAGTCCGCGCCGCCCGCCCGCCCGCTCGCTCCGAGGCGGCACCGGGAGAAAGTGGCGGTCAGGGATGGAGCTGCTGCCATGACAACCCCGGCGGTCGGGGCCCGCGCGCGTCGGGGCTGCTCCCGGGAGGAAGGCGGCGCGGAGGCCGGGGGCGGCCGCTGAGCTTGGCGTCCGCGCGGCTCCGGTGCCGGCTGCGCCGCGCCTTCCCCAGCGAGCGAGAGAGCGAGCTAGGGGCCGCCGCGGTCCGCTCCCGCCGCCCAGCCGCTCCCTCCTCGGCCACCGCCGCAGCCCCTGCCCCGCCGAGCCCGGCCGCATTTGGGCTCCGAGGAAGTTGACCGAGGCGGCTGCCGCAGGATCCTGGGTCCGAATTGCACGAAGCCCGCGCGGCGTCTCCTCCGCGCGCCACCCGGCGCCTCTGCGAGCTCCACTTCCCATCGGCTATTGTTTCCGATTGTTTTCCGGTGGCGAACCCGGCTCCGAAACTTACAAAGTGTTGGATTTCCCCCGTGGGAACTGAGGGACTGCAGACCACCGCCTCTGGGCCGCTGGATGAAGCCCACCCCGTCCCCTTCCGGTACCAAAGTGCTTACTCCTCTCCAAAGTGCCATGTCTGAACTGCCACTGGCAAGAAGCGGCTCCTGAGACGCGCCCACACCTTTCACCTGCCTGGCGCTTCCCCCTCCTCGGCCACCTTCCCGGCCGCAGCAGCGAGGAGGGAGCCCCCTTTGGCCGCGCTCCGTGGAACTGGTTTTCCGAGGCGGGCAAGCCGAGGCCGGATTTGGGGGAGGAAGATTAGACTTGGAGGAGTCTGCGCGCTTTCCTCCTCCCCGCGCCTCCCGGTCGCCGCTAGTTCACCGCTCAGTCCCCGCGCCCGCTCCGCACCCCACCCACTTCCTGTGCTCGCCCGGGGGGCGTGTGCCGTGCGGCTGCCGGAGTTCTGGGAAGTTGTGGCTGTCGAGGATGGGGGTCTGTGGGTACCTGTTCCTGCCCTGGAAGTGCCTCGTGGTCGTGTCTCTCAGGCTGCTGTTCCTTGTACCCACAGGAGTGCCCGTGCGCAGCGGAGATGCCACCTTCCCCAAAGCCATGGACAACGTGACGGTCCGGCAGGGGGAGAGCGCCACCCTCAGGTAGGGAGCTGACATTCTTCTACGAATTGATGATTTGTATGGGGTGGGGGTAAGGGGCAGGGGTGCAGGTGTGTGCACTGAGGCGTGCCCGGGCTGGCGGAAAGGTCGCTGGTTCCCTGGGCTGCACAATTTATCGCTGCGCTGGGGGCTCTGCCCGGGAATGTGGCGGTCATAGGTAAAGGCTCAGAGGTTCTGGCGGTGAGCTTTTTCCCCAAAACTGGCCTCTGCAGCTCAGGCACTTGCTGAGGGTGAGGGGTGGCTGGTCGCTGAGATTGAGGGACTTGTCCCTGGCACTGTCTGTGCCTGAGCCTGGTGGCCGTGGTGACTGGGGGCCTGGAGGGCCTCGCCGCGAGCAGTCTTCTCTGAAGTTAACGAGTCCCAAAGGAGGGGTCTGGGTTGGAGTGAATGCCCCCACTCGCCCATGCCAAGGGGATTTGCCAGTCCTGGATCCTGCACTCGGGGGGAGCCGCTGTTTTGTCCTGGGCTTGACTGTGCCAGGGCTTTCCTGGGGTGCCTTCATGCCGTGAGCTGGTGGGCAGAGATGCTTTCTCCTGCCTGAACGTGGCTTTCTGAGGCCCAAGTCATGGAGTCTGATATGTCCGTGGAAAATGGCATTTACTCTAGTGAACTGTGTTCTGTTCCTGCTCTCCATCAAAACAGTATGCGCAAAACTCGTCTACTGAAGAGACACTAGGTTTCAGTGTTGGGGTGGGTCCTGATTGGCTTCTGGGTTTAAGGCTTGCAGGCACTTGGGGAGGAGAAGAAGAAGAATCTTGGTTATGCTTTGTGTAAGGTAGAATGATTCTATCTCCCTGATTACCTTGCCCGCTGAAACGCTAACTCAGTTTCCAGTGTTGATAAACCACACCTCTCCTATGAGGGCAACACACTTAATGATTGCAATGGGAAATTTTATTCTCTGGAATTTTGTAAGCGAATAAGCATGAGGTGGAAGTTAAGAAGGTGCATGGGAATGATTTCCCTGCCTCTCCTTGATTTAGTCTACCCTCTTAAATAAAGTTTTCCAAACTAAGCAACAGAACTAACCACAAGGTAGCATGGCAATATTCTTGTCCTTTGCACATGAAGATTTCTGGAAAGATAACCCTAGTGTTGGTGTCTACTGTTTGGCCTTTCTGATGACTTCTTCTAGGATTGCGTTCTTTAAGGATTGTATACTTAAGGTAATATCTACAGGATAGAAAATGTTGAAGAGGAGGCAATGTCAATACAGCACTGAATTATCAGGACATTGTCAAAGGAAGGAAGTGTGTAATTTAGGGACCCATGCAGGCTGCAAGCATCTGGTGATCCTTTGTCTTGGGAGAGCTGATCCTCATGGTTCTAGTGAACTCCTAGTTATTCCTTGGCTCATGAGACCCTCCTCTTCCACTCTTCTGGGCAAAAATAAAGCAACTAGCTCCCCTCATTCCAAAATGATTGTGTATCTGCTTTAGAAATGGATTTCAGGGTAGTTACAAATATGCAGCGATTTCAGACTCCTTAAATAAAAAACCAAAAATGAATGTCTAAAGCAGTAATAATCAAGAAGTTTAATGTTCTGTGGATGCCCCCTTTGTCTCTATTCCTTGGCTGCCAGGAGGGCCTCCCAGGGACAGAGAGATTTTCATGTGGGTAACATTTTAGATATAAACGGGATGATTTTTATTTTTTTTAAGGAAAAGGTAAGGTAGCTCTGTAGAGATTTGAAGGTAAATAAACAGCATGTGGGTCTTGGCAGACAGAGACCCTATGTTTGGAGGCCAGTGTCTGGTCTCCAGAAGGTAGTCTTCAAGGATTATGAAAATCAGGACCGTCCAGAGGGTGGCTGCATTCAGCAGAGGCTGAATCACAGGACAGGCCTGGGTTAGGAGTAGCTTCTGTCTGAAATCGCATTATCATGTACTGGCTGACTTATCTTTCTTTGTCTTCCTTTCCATGGTTCTTTCTTCTCATTCTGTGGGTCTTCCTCTCGGTCTCTTTCAGCACTAATGTTTGTTTGCATTTCCACATGTGCTGTCAACACAGTGGTATTGTTTGGGTATGGATGGAGATGGCAACATGGTGGAACTTCCTTTCTAGACCCTTGAATTGGCCCCAACGCAGCCAAGTTCCTTCTGGAACATCTCCTGCCATTCTGTGCCAGCCTTAAGGGCTGAATGTCTTCCTGACATGCAAGAGAAAGGCCCTCACAGAGGATGGAGCACTACAGGACAGGGATTAGATAAGCTAGGATCTGAGCGACACCAGCCCTTGACCATGGGCCAGACTGAGGATATGAATCAGGCACCAAGTGTAAACAGGCAACCAGTACAGAGGATGCTCAGGCCTCTCAGGATTGCCCTCCTTCTCAGACTCTGATGCACTAGAACAAGAAAGGGCTGCCCTACTAGGTGTGTTTTTGTGGAGTGGAAGCCCCTGAAGTCTCAAACATAGGCCCTACATTTTCTTGTTCTGTGTGCAGAGAAGCAAGTAGGAATTTCAGAATGTATTTTGTTTGCATAATTTTCATGTAACCTGAGTATAGGTTGCAACAATCTAGTAGTTCAGAGTTCTGAGTTATTTTCTTTTTGCTTTGTATTGTGCGTGTGTGTGTAAGGGGGGGCAGAGGTCCCTTCCCTCCTTCCCTCCTTCCCTCCTTCCCTCCTTCCCTCC